TTTCGCTGGGAGCAGTTCCTTCCTGGCAAAGTCCGGGTGCACCATGAGGAGCGAGGTTCAAGGAGGCAGATATGCCATACTTTGTACTCCAAATGCTTCGAGAGCGCCCCCCCCCCCCCCCTAGCTCCTCCTCCACCTCACCTTCTTCTTCTCGTTCCTCTCCGAACTCCTCCGCATCGAGGCCGATTGCATACCCGAGAGTCTCCCTGCCCTGCCTCGCCGCTGACTTGCCTTCCTTTCCTCGTCAGCCTCGACGCTCTCGGCGCAGATCGTGACGATGTCCTGAAGCACTTCCTTGCAGACCTCCTCGTACACTCCGCGCGAAACTATCATGCTCCTCAGGGCTGCCCATCCGTCCTCATCCTCCTGGTCCAGGGCCTCGTAGATCGGATCCATCGCATCGCTCACGAGCTGTTCCGCGAGCTCCTGCGCGTCGAGGAGCTCGGAGTAGCTGCTGAAGGCAAACATGTGCATGCTTGCGGCCTACTCGCTCTTGAGACGACAACCTCAGCACAACCTCAGCTCATGGTCATGAACTTGTCGCCTTCAGTTCTGCCCCATGCTGATTGTCTGAAACTCATGAGACGGGTTCACATCTCAACACCTCTCGCACTCTCAGGATACAAGCTCCGGCGTACCAGACTGCAGACATCAAGTCAATCCAGAATCAACACAGCAAATGGGAGAAGACGTATATCAACTTCAGGCGTAACACATGCCGAACGTATCTCCTCTTTCTGCCATACCACCCTTCCTCCCCCGGTTTATTGATTCTTTCTGACCATTTCATCATCGTCCTCTCAGTCCAACTCATCTTCCTCTCACTGTCAGCCTCCATGCCGCAGCGGCTGCCCGGCAGCAACATGACGAACCTACGGACCACTGCCTACGGAGGGTGGGCCTGGCAGTCCGGCCGCTGGCCCCGCGACTGAGGGCCGGTCACCGGGCCCAGTGAAACTTAGGGCCGAGAGTAAGTACTGAACTTTGAGTAAAGTCGCGGCAGCCCCGGGCAGGGCTGACTTGGGGCCAGCCGACTGCCAGTGAGCCCGGGCCGGGCGCCTACTGAGGCCGCGGCCGCCGGGCCGCTCAAACCGTTGAACGGAGGCTCCCCGCTCACTCAGTCACGCTGCCGTCACGGCGCACAGGCCGGGTGACACCGTCGGCGGCGGCGAGAAGAGAAAAGACAGCGCCGGAGAACCAAACGAGGCTAATCCTGCCGACTGCTGTACAGTACGGTCAATTCCGGGCCAGGTTTTGAACCCGGTCTTCGGGGGGCCGCCGGGCTAGCCGGGGGCCCGGGCTCGGAACTGACAGGCCGAAGTTTTACTCAACTTAGTTGAGAGAACATTTCTGCTGGCGGCCAAGTTGGCGTCAACCCTAGTAGGTTGTGGGGTCATACGCAGTTGGTCCCAGGAGGGGGTAGGGTACTACATTACATAGTGGTAGAGTAGGGTGGCTTTTGTATTAAAGTTTGGTAGATGGGAGGGGTGATGTTTTGGAAACATGATGGGGGCAGGGTACGAAGCAGGCCTAGGGGTACAGAGGAGGGGTGGGGGTCCTTCTTGTAGTACGACGGGCGTCAAGGAGTTGGTCCTCGGATAAGTTTGTCTCACTGAGTGATAGGGTGGGGTGGGTGAGGATGAGGGGGTGATGGTGACTTAAGTATACAAAGGGGTGGGTACTCCAAAGTAAAAAGCGGGGTGAATGTGATCCATTTGGAGGAAAGGGGGGGTGGGGTATGGTACAGAAGTTTGACTAGCGGTTGACGTGATGGTGGTGGGAGGAGCGGCGGGAAGGGAGGGAGAGGGATGGTTGGATGCGGAGATTGAGAGTAAACAAGAGGAGAGAGTTTGTTGATGTCGAGATGCCATGATGGAGTTGCCAGTTGGTTTCAGCAGCGCAGGTGGGGTACAGAGGTCAGAACACTGTAGATGATATGAAAGCAGGATTTTCCTTTTCGGTTCCCTGTGTGCAAATGGGAGCGGGAGGAAGAGGAATGAGAGAAAGGCAGCGACTGAATCCGAGAGTTAAATCAAGTTGTTTCTTTGTTCTAGTTGTTGTCGTGTTGCAATACCAGAAATCAAATCGATCCTTACTGATTTGTCGAGGATTGTTAGCATGTAGCAATATGCGTTGCCCTTGCTGCCAACATGTCACCAACCACTCCTCAAAAGTTGGACAGTTTGGCGTCGATCTTGCTCAGATCTGATGCTTTTCACAAGGAACGGGCGAAAAATCAGCGCGATGTCGCACCCAACGGTTGTGCTGCCGATGATTACCAAGTCTCCATCAGCTGAAAGCCCTACCTCCAAGTCGCTGTCTGTCACATCCCTTCCTCGATGTACTTCAGAGATAGGATTCAGCAAGGGGATGTCCAGGACGGGTGGAAGTCGCTCCCCAGGAGCCGAGCGAGAGCGCTTCCTCTCAAACACTGACCCCGAGTTGCGATCCAAGTCGGAGGGCGTGTACGGAGATCAGGTTGAGCACAGGAAGAACTCGTGGGTCTCCTCGACGAGCAAGTCGGTGCCGCACGCGGAGGACAGAGGAAAGAAGCACAAGGGCTCGAGGAGGAAGAAGTCAACGTTCGGTCACGGCCATGACGTGGCCGGGGATCATTCAGGGCATGGAAAGGAGGTGGGGGGTTCTAAACTAGGTACGCCTCCCAGCACCCTTTGTCTGGAGACGATAGGATGTGGATTGACTGATGTTGATGTTGAGGATGGGCCCATCCCATGATGGGTCTTGATGTCTTGATCATTCCTGTGGTGTTCTTGATTGTTGTTTTCCATCGGGAATGTGTCTGTTGTTGGTCCGGGTTTGACTCTTTGTTGTCCAGCGTTTACAAACACCGAGAGGAAAGCGTTGAAAGAAATATCATCCCTGAGCAAATTTTGCTATTTCAAAGTCAATGATCCGAGACTTGGTAAGCACAGAGACTTGCTGATAGAACGGGCTCAACGCTGAATCCTTTGTTCCAGAACTGAAAGATCCAGAAGAGAGGTTCAAGGACATGCTTGTTGGTGAGTCGACAGGATGGGAAGACAGGTTGGAGGAGAGCATAAAGCATCTGCGGCAAAAGATCAAGGATGAAAAGCATTCTCTATCTGTCCTGACCGATGCCCAGGTTCAGCTTTTCTGGACTGCTCGTGTTTTTGATTTCGTTGCAGGTCAACTCAGAAATCTCGTCAGAGGATGCAAATGTGAGCTCATGTGCGGAAGGAGATGAAGCCATTGCAGCTTGCAAGGCTAGGATAGCCGAAGGTGACTTCCAGGCTGCCCAGAAGGCTCTGCAGAGGGCCAAGCGCGAGTACATCAGGGTCGGGATAGACAAGAGGAAGATGATTGAGGCGATAGCGTACGAGATCGAGAGAAGGAGAGAATCAGAGTCGAAGCTCAAGTTCTTCGAAGTTGAGTTCCAAGAGCTTCTCGGTCAGTCGAGGGATCTGTTCGCCGCTAAGGACCTCCACTCGAGTCAGATCAAGTTACAGCAGGCCCGCCGGGTCCACGAGAACATCTCCTACCTGTCCTCGGAGACGGCCATGGGCATGGCAGGGAAGCTTGAGAACATGCAGCGACAAATTGACGAGGAGACTACGAGGAGGCAGAGGCTGATGGAGGACTTCACTGTCCTGCTGCGGGAGGTTGACGAGTCGATCGAGAGGTTCGCGATGGAGAAGGCGAGGAGGAGCCTGGAGGCAGCAAGCGACCTCTCCTCCTCCTCCTCCTTCATCCGGGAGGAGGAGAGGCTGGCGCGATACAGGGAGAGGATTCAGGAGGTAGAGAACTTCCGTCAGGAGGTGCTGGAGCGAGCAATGTGGGCGGAGAAGAACGCGATCTCCTCCTGCGACAACGGAGACTTCTCATCAGCTCGCAGGTTCGTGTCGGATGCGGCTCAGAGCTACGGGAGCATCTGCATGGAGGAGAGCGCGGCGATCCCTGAGATCCTGTTGAGTATCGAGGAGGGGGAGCAGGCGAAGTTGACAGCGGAGTTGTTGGCAAGAGCTGAAAGCCTCGCCGAACAAGCTGGGGTCCTCCTGGACGATCGTGAGTGGGAGGAAGCAGCTCGTGTGTCGCAGTCTGCAGCTGCTGTATACGCGGACCTGTCCCTGCCCGTCCCTCCTGGCCTTTCCGAGCTGATGGAGAAGATCGTCGAGGGGAGGCGAGCGGAGCAGGAGAAGCGGCAGGCAGAGGTAGCGACCCCTTGTGTGCTGGCAGTAGCGTTCTGACCTGCGCACTGCAGATCATGAGGAAGAAGTATCTCGACGAGATCAACAGCCTGTACAGTGAGATGGAGGAGAAGTTCGAAGACAGCAGGCTGGAGGAGCTGAGAGAGATGTTCCCGACGGCATACGAGAGGATCAGGAGCGAGGATGACGACATCTTGTCGAGGTTCCAAGGCCTGGAGCGGAGGATGCAACAGAAGCTTCTGCAAGTGGAGGCTGAGGAGGCAGTGAGGGAGCTGGTGATGCAGGCAGAGGAGAGGATGAAGAGCTTCGAGCTGGAGGAAGCTGAGAAAAGCTTCAAGGAGGCGGAGGGTCTGTGCGCTCAGCACGGCATCCCGATGGGACATGAGCTCAGGTCGCTCAAGTCACGGATCCACGAGCTCGTCGACCTCCTGCAGAGGGCCGGAGCTGAGAAACTCAAGATAAGGTCTTGTCTCGAGAGCGGAGACCTGCTGGACGCCCGCTCGGCTCTGATCGAAGCGAGGAAATGCTCACAGCTTGCTGGGCTGCAGGTGGACGAGGAGCTGAAGGGGCTGGAGGAAGAGGTCGTGACTGCAGAGCGATATCAGAAAGTTGGGAAGTCAAAGCTGAAGGAGGCGGAGATGAACGTGGAGGCCGGACTGCTTGAGGAGGCAGAGGAGTCGCTGAAGGAGGCGAAAAACGCCTTTGAGCAGGCAAGGCAGGACAAGAGAGAAATGCTGAGAGAGCTCCAAGACAAGATTGAGCTCGGAAAGACAGACCGAAAGAACAAACAAAAAGCAGCAGATGAGGAGGCAGCGAGGAAGGCAGCCGAGGAGGAGGAGGCAGCGAGGAAGGCGGCCGACGATGTTGGAGGCTGCCGCAGCAGACGGAGAAGATACAGCGAGGAAGGCAGCCGAGGAGGAGGAGGCAGCGA